AAGCATACAAGAAAAAAGACTTTTGGATGCAGTGAATGTGGGAAAGCCTTCCAAAAGAAGTCTCATCTCATTAGACATGAAAAAAAGCATACAAGGAAAAAAAAAACCTTTGAATGCAATGACTGTGGGAAAGCCTTTAACAGTAAGGGACACCTGGCAGTTCACCAAAAAATTCATAGTGGAGAGAGACCCTTTGTGTTCAGTGATTGTGGGAAAGCATTTATGCATAAAGCACAACTCATGGTCCACCAGAGACTTCACAGTGGAGAGAAGCCTTATGAATGCAGTCAGTGCAGGAAATCATTCACTTGGAACACCTCTTTTACTCAAGATGTGAAATCTCATACACTTGAGAACTTATTTGAATGTAAGGAATGTGGGAAAACCTTCAAGTGCAGTTCATCTCTTTATAAACATTCTAGGTTTCATACAGGAGAAAAACCATATAGATGTAGAGAATGTGGCAAAGCCTTTGCAGACTCATCAGTGCTTGTCATGCATCAGAGAATTCATACAGGTGAGAAACCCCATGGGTGTACTGAATGTGGCAAAGCCTTCATCAAGAAGTCACCTCTCCTTAAACATTACTTAACCCATGCAGCAGAGCAACAAAACAAATGCAACATATATGGGAAATCTTTTAACAAGAAGACACATCTCATTCTCCATCAAAGAAGTCATAAAAACATGGAAGCTTTGTGAATGTGGGAAAACTTAAAATTAGCCTTTTAATAAAGCAGCAAAGAATTCATCATAAGAAAAACCCTGACAGTTGAATAAATGTGGAAAAGCATGTTCTGAAGTTCATATTCTGTGATATTATTAATTTTATTGAAAAGATTACAGAAAATTTTGAGTTATAAATAAACAACTTTACTGTATAGTATAAAGCTGAGGAAGTTGTGAAGCACTGGATAAACAAGGCATCAGACTAACTATTATTACATATATGCACTGCCCCTGATTTACGATTTTTACACCTTATTACAAATATCTGCATTGCTTAAGAAATTTGTATAGTCATAGGTTTGAAATATATGCTGCACACATTATACAAAATTATGTCTGTTATGGTGATGGTTGCACAACATTGTGAATGTACTTAATGCCAATGAATTATACACTTAAAAATGGTTAAAATAGTAAATTTTATGTTATGTATATTTCACCACAATAAAAATATATAAATAAAACTTAAAACAAAACAACCTCCCCCCCAAATTATATCCATTAAAATCTCTAGTAAACACCATCCTCGTCTCTTCAAAGCCTAAAATCACCATATGCAGAATTGTCAATTATAAGTGAAATAATATAGTTATACAGAACGAAGTTCAGTGCTATGAACTTTAACCATTTCCTGGCACCTATAAATAGTTGTGACAGTTGTTACTGAGCCTTTTTGAGCCTCCTTTTAAATAACAGAAGTCAAGAACAGTTAGGAAGTCTTCTACTGCCTCTGCTCAGCTGAGGACATTGTGTAATGTTTTTTTCTCTATGCAGAACACCAAAGTGTGTGTGTGTGTGTGTGTGTGTGTGTGTATTTAATCCTGTCAACCTAACACTGAAGAAAGCAAGCATCTGCGTTCCGTATTACTCTAAGCACTTAGTACAGGAAAAGAGGCATTTCTTCAGGTAAACAGTCATGTAAATAAAAGCCATGCTATTTCACTGGCACAGCTACATAAGTAGGAGTAAGCTTAGCTCAGGCAGCATATAAGTGGGGTACTTAGTTTAGAAAAATTAGGCATCATGATACTTTGCAGAGACTTCTGGAAGAAAATCAATTATTGCTTTTTTTGTTTTAGAAATTGATTCAGAGATATGTCAGGCTTGTTTGGAAATTTATAGGTGACTAGCATATGTATCATATCGAGCTATTTGAACAGCTTTTCTGCTTCCTTGAGCTGCTTAGCAACTCTTTTATAATTTGACATTATGCAAGTTCTGTGCATTCCCTTTAAAAACACATGAACTAACAATGATTTAAGTGAAAATTCTGTATTTCACTTTGTGTTGCTTGATAATGTTAAAAAGTCTTTAAGCCCTTTCTTCAGTGGTTGTGAAGCTTGGGGACAGCATTGACCCTGAACCTGAAGTCACAAAATCAGGTTTTCTCTTTCAAGCATAAGTTTTCGGATTAAATGAGTGAACTTGCAATTGTTTTTCTCTCATTAGCATTTTTGCAAGGTGATGATGAGTAAAGATTTATGAATGAGAGTGATTTTCTGAATATCCATCAGATCTAAGTTAAGCCTTATCTCACAAAGTTTTCACACTAAGACTGTATGCTAATTAAATTTACACCGAATCTCTTGGCAAACCACAAAAGTACATGTGACTTAATTATAAACTCAGGGAGCTTTATTCAAGTTGGACTGTCTTCTCTCGCATTTTCTTTCTTTTTTTTTTTTTTGTGAGGAAGAGCAGCCCTGAGCTAACATCCATGCCAATCCTCCTCCTTTTTTTTCCCCCAAAGCCCCAGTAGATAGTTGTATATCATAGTTGCACATCCTTATAGTTGCTGTATGTGGGACACGGCCTCACCATGGCCGGAGAAGCGGTGCGTTGGTGCGCGCCTGGGATCCGAACCCAGGTCGCCAGTAGCGGAGCGCGCGCACGTAACCGCTAAGCCACGGGGCCAGCCCTCTCGCATTTTCTTTTAAAGCTGTCATTTTGCTTTATTTAACATTTACTCTTCTCCTCCTAGCTCTTTCTCAGCTCCCGTCCTTAGCAGTAACAGCATCTGAGAAAATCCAAACTTTAAGACAGCAAGAAGACTCCTTTAGGGAGTAGGACGTGTCTCATTGCTGCCAGAATGATGTGAGACCCCTTTAAAAAGAGGGGCCTGGTGCATCTAGGTGGCAGACTGAAATTAAGAAGGAACCTGGGAGTTTTATTTGGCATTATGATCTGTGCTCTATGAATTAAACTGTTTGCTCCCTTTCTTAAATGCCAGAATTAATAGAGTAAAAGAATTAGGTAAGTATGAACCATAATGAATCAAAATTAAACAGATGTTTGAAAATCGAAACAAGTCATTATTATTATTTTACTATTTAAACCAAGTCATTGTCAGGCACTAAAACAAAACCATCAATCCCTCTAATTCAAATATAATTCATGGGTCTATAGCTCACATTTGAGAAGGAAAAACTGGGCTGCGCTGTTGTACATATGCAAATGCACAGGTCAGCAGCAACATTCTGAGATTAATTTGGAGGAGTGCAGAAAATCATGTCTACTAATAATTGAGTATGTAAATTATTTTTAAGTAATCAAGTGAATTTAAAGTTCTTTTTATAATACATCATATACATTATTGAATAAAATAGGGTTACAAGGAGCACTAGATATTTACACATAATTGGAAGACTCTCTTATCTCTGCCAAGACCCTGTGTTGTTAATTATTCCTGTGATCACAAGTTATTTTAGTGTCTTACTTTCTTGAACATATTTTTTTCTTTTTAAAAAATATATTGCTTAATTTATCTTTTCTTTCATTGAGATATAATTGACATATAACATTATATTAGTTTCAGCTGTACAACATGATTTGATATTTGTATATATCGTAAAATATTCACCACAGCAGGGCCGGCCTGGTGGCGCAGCAGTTAAGTGCGCACTCCCCTTCAGTGGCCCAGGGTTTGCAGGTCGGATCCTGGGCATGCACTGACACACCACTTGTCACCCCAGACTGTGGCGACGTCCCATATAGGGTAGAGGAAGATGGGCATGGATGTTAGCCCAAGGCCAATCTTCCTCAGCAAAGAGGAGGATTGGCATCGGATGTTAGCTCAGGGCTGATCTTCCTCACCAAAAAAAAAAAATTGTTCACCACAGTAAGTCTAGTTAATGTCCATCACCACACAGTCACAAAAATTTTTTCTTGTGATGAGAACTTTTAAGATTTATTCTCTTAGCAACTTTCAAATATACAATACAGTATTATTAATTATAGTCACCATGCTGTATGTTACATCTCCATGACATTTATTTTATAACTGGAATTTTGTACCTTTTGACCACCACCCATTTTGCCCACCACCCACTTCCTGCCTCTGGCCACCACCAACCTGTTCTCTGTATCTACGAGTTTGGTTTTTGTTTCATTTTTTTTTTAGATTCCACATATAAGAGATCATATGGTATTTGTCTTTCTCTGTCTGACATTTCACTTAGCATAGTGCTCTCAAGGTCCATCCATGATGTTACAAATGGCAAGATTTCCTTCCTTTTTATGGCATTGTATAGATAATCCACAATTTCATTATCCATTCATCCATCAATGGACATTTAGGTTGCTTCCATGTCTTGGCTATTGTAAATAATGCAGCAAGAAAATTTTTAAATGATAACATTTT